CCATACGAGTTCAGACCAATGTAAATCTAGTCCCGTATCCTGTCTTCCGACAATGACCAGTGCCAGTTTTTTGAACCCAGTTACACTTTTGGCCTTCATAACATCCCCTGGCAATGAGTTCCACAGGTTGACTCTGCGTTGGGTGAAACATACTTCCTTATGTTTATTTTAAACCTCCTGCCTATTAATTTAATTGGGGACCCCGGTTTGTGTGTTATGTGAAGGGATAAATAGCACTTCCTTATTCACTTTCTCCACACCATTCATGATTTTATAGACCTCAGTTGTCCCTTTTCCAAGCTGAACAGGTCCAGTCTTTTTAATCTCTGCTCATATAGAAACTGTTCCATACCCTATACCATTTTTGTTGCCTTCTCTGTACTTTTTCCAATTCTAATATCTTTTTGAGATGGAATGATCAGAACTGCACACGGTATTCAAGGTGTGGGTTTGCAGTGGATTTATATGGTGGCACTATGATATTTTCTGTCTTATTATCAATCCCCTTCCAAATGGTATCTAACATTCTGTTAGCTTTTTTTGATTGCCCATGCACACTGAGCAGATGAGTGAACTATCTGTGATGACTCCAAGATCTCTTTCTTTAGTGGTAACAGCTAATTTAGACCCTATCATTTTGTATGTATAATTGGGATTATATTTTTCCAGTGTGCATTACTTTGCACTCTTCAATATTGAATTTCACCTGCCATTTTGTTGCCCACTCACCCAGTTTTGTGAGAGCCCTTTGTAACTCTTCACAGTCTGCTTTGAAGTTAACTATCTTGAGTAACTGAGTATTGTCTGCAAACCTTGCCACCTCACTGTTTATCCTTTTTTCCAGATCATTTATGACTATGTTGAACAGTACAGGTCTCAGTACAGATTCTTGGGTGACCCCCACTATTCACCTCTCTCCACTGTGAAAACTGATCCTTTATTCCTATCCAATTTCCGATCTTTTAATCAGTTACGGATCCATGAGAGAACCTTCCTTCCTTGTCTCATGACTGCTTACTTTTAAGAGCTTTGGTGAGGGACCTTGCCAAAGGCTTTCTGAAAGTCCAAGTACACTCCATCAAACAGATCACCCGTGTCCACATACTTGTGACCGAATTCTAGTAGATTGGTGAGGCATGATTTCCTTTACTAGAGCAGTGTTGACTCTTCCCCAACGTACTGTGTTCATCTATGTCTCTGATCATGCTGTTCTTTACTATTGTTTCAACTAATTTGCCTGGTACTGAAGTTAAGGCTTACTGGTCTGTAATTGCCAGTATAGCCTCCGGAGGCTTTTTAAAAAATCAGCATTACATTAGCTATCCTCTAGTCATCTGGTACAGAGGCTGATTTGGGTGATAGGTTACATATCATAGTGGTTCTGAAGGAATTCAAATATGAAACTGCAGAACTCTTGGGTGAATACCATTTAGTCCTAGTGTTTTATTGCTGTTCACTTTATCAGTTTGTTCCCAAATGTCCTCTATAGATCCCTAAACCAGGGACAGGTCCTCAATTTGTCACCTAAAAAGAATGGCTGAGGGAGGCGTGAGAATCTGATGCAAAGAATTCATTTAGCTTATTTGCAACAACCTTGTCTTCCTTGAGTGCTGCTTTAGCACCTCGATCGTTCAGTAACCCCTGCTTCTTATGTACTTATTATTTTTTTGGTGTTAGATTTTGACTCTTTTGCTAATTGTTCTTCAAATTTATTTTTGGGCTGCTTAATTATACTTCTACATTTGACTTGCCAGAATTTATGCTCCTTTCTGTTTTCTCCAGTAGCATTTGACTTCCAATTTTAAAAGATGTCTTTTTGTCTCTCACTGTCTCTTTTACTGTGTTTAGTCTTGATGGCATTTTCAGCTCAGGCTCTGGAGGCCCTGCCCAGCTTCAGAGTCTGAGCTCCTGTCCAGGCTGCAACATCTGCAACAAATAATAAAAGTTAACAACATGGCAACTATAATATTTCTTAATAAGAGTGGCCCCCATCTTGCATTCTGATAGCGCAGACAAACCCTGGACACTTTTAACCCTGGAACTAATGTCACATAGGGGTCAACAGGACGGCATGCAGGCTCAGGAGTCTGCCCATGAGAATTGGGTTGTAGGATTGGGGTTTGTTTCCATTTCCACACCAGAGACTGTTGGGACAAACTGTTGCCAATTTTACATTTTGTAAACCTGAAGAATTTACAAAATTTAAAACCAAAACAAATGTTTCTATGATATTAAAAAAGATCCACTAGATTTGTTTTTTAAACAAAGAAATATCCCCCTGAAGTGTCTATAATTCAAACACTGCAGTGTTCTGCTAGAACTCAAAAAGAGTGACGCTGATCATGAACAAAGGGGTTACTACTGGCTCATCTGTTTTCACTGTCAAAGCTGAAAGAAATGCAAATAATAAATGAATGATATTGTCCTAACTTTGCAGCCCTCACTCAGGCAACATTCCTAATGAAGTCATGGAAATTTAGTCTGAGAAACCGGGGAGTGACAATTTAAATCTCATAAGTAGTGAAAAGTAAAAAAAAAAATTGTAAAAAAAGAATCCTTTTTATTTTAATAAATTATGGTGTTACAGTCTTGCTCACTTTTTGGTTTTTATTGTGAGATTTATCATATTGGGTATTTTTCTTGAACCTGTAGCTCCTGGAATCATATGATTACGTCTCATTCTTTCTTTCTTCTTTTTCATTTTCTTTTTCTTTTTTAAAGTATATTTCATGGTTGTGGAGAAAAAAGCTTGGAAGTGTTCCTCAAGTATAGCCTAAAATTTCAGAAACCAGAAAGCAAACAAAAAGAACCCCAAATCTGTTATATTTAAAATTTCATGATTGGGGGCCTAATTCATGAATTTTGACTGCATGGAGTTGGCAATAGTGGTGTTATTTGTAACATAGATAAGGAATGTTGTAGGGGTTTTTTACACTATCAAGTTAAAAGCATGTTTTTCATTAAATTTAGAGCATCACAAAGATGTACTACTTTTACTACTGATGTCAACACTAGCTCTTTTAATATTTAATACCTTAATTTTAGGAAATTAAGGAAATTGCTGGTTATGACATGAAGCACATGGAAAACCGTATGCATGTCTATAAAGTATACAAAATGTGTACATTCATGTGTGTTAATCCTAGGGTCATGAATTTCAGTTGACTTAGGCCCTGGACCTGCGCTTTACAGTGCATAGATGGGCTGATGTGCCTACAAAAAGCCCTCTTGATGTCCGTGGGGCTGCCCACTTGCACATTGTAAATTACCGCAGTGATTTGAAGAGGTTAGCCCTGCAAGGTGTTGATGCCTTTGTGTGATGAGTCATCCGTAAGCCTGAGTCTGATGAGTCATCAGACGTAATTACCTGGGAGTCCTAAGGGTCCAGTGAATCCCCAAGCAGGGGTCTAATCAGGTGACCCCAAGCTAGGTAGGTAGGCTCCTAATGAAAGCAGCCACTCAATGTCACTAAGTTGTCAGGGATACGCCCTGCTGCCTGGTAGCTCTGATGTATGCTCCTGACCATGCTTGTTCCTGTTCCAGCTCCAATCACAGCTGGCCATCCCACTGCTAGAGGCTATGTCTGTGTGCACTTGAGGCCTGCCAGTCGCACCCTGGTTTTTACCAGCCTGAACTATACTGCAGCACACTCCCCAGATATTTCCCCAGAAATGTATGTCTTGTATTGCCCAGCTCTCTCCTGGACAGTACAAGCTCATATAATACAAATGATATGCACAAATCCTGTTATCCCAAATGGAGTTTCCCAAACTCTTCAGTTCAAACACTCTGGTTTAGATAAAACGACAAAGAGCTGAATTTTAAGTGACTACAATTAATGAGGCATACAAATCAGAAATGGTTACAAGAAAAATAAAGATAAAACACAACTAATGCCTAACTTAACAAACAACGTTAAATTCAAAGTAAACGTTTTTCCCACCACATGCTCTCAACAGTCTTACTGGCCAAACTTGGTAGGCCAGGACCCCTTCTTCTGTTTAACAGCTGCTTCCTTTGTTCCTTCTGGTGCAGTGACTCAATGGACAGAGGGAGGGGTGCTCTTTGGATGTCTCCCCTTTCTTTTTATAGTCCTCTTCCTCCTTTGAGAAGCATCTCCAGCTGAGATTCAGGAGACAAAAAGTTTATGTGGACGGGAATACTATGCTGTTTCTTTGCTAAAATGTAGATTTTTCGCCCAAGTCCCCTTTCCTGCTAAAGAATGGCCATTTAGGCCTGGTCTACACTGTGTGTGTGTGTGTGTGTGTGTGTGTGTGTGTGCGGGGGTTGATGTAAGATACGCAACTTCAGCTACAGGAATAGCTGAAGTCGATGTATCTTATTTCGACTTACCTCCCATCCTCACGGCGCGGGATCGACGTCTGCGGCTCCCTCATCGACTCCGCTATCGCCGCTTGCCCTGGTGGAGTTCTGGAGTTGATGGGAGCGCGTTTGGGGAT